TTATTCTTGCCTGTCGTTCTTTATCTTTTAAGTATGTTATATATCCTCTTTTTGTTAGTTTTAATCCAAGCATCCTGCCTTCAGTGTCGTATGGGTATAGTTCCTGGTCGACTATTACTGGACTTGTTTAATCTTGGCTATTGGTATTCTCTTGAATTTGTTCTTATTTGTCCTGATTTTCCATTTTTTCTCAAAATCATTTATGTTTTTTATCGCTCTTCCCGTGTAGAGTGCCATAAATTGGGTTGATTTTCCTGGGTATGATACTATTTGAGTAATATCATCAGCAAACATTACATATTCGCTAAAGGGGGTAGGTTGAGGTGTGTCTGAAGTATAAATTGTATATAGTGTTGGAGAAAGGCATCCTCCTTGAGGTACTCCACTCTCAAGATTAAACATAGTTCCTAAAAAGTTTCCAATTTGAATTTGTGCTCTCCTATCATCTAAATAGTTACACAATATTCTTAGCATGTATTCGTTAAGTCCCAGTTTTAATATTTTATATTTCAAGCCTAAATGCCCAACTTTATCAAAAGCCTTAGAAACATCCCTTAAAATTATATTGATCTGGTTACCCTTGCTTTTTTCTATTGCAATTATTTCCGTTATTATAGCTATTGCAGTTAGGGTATTTCTATTGGGCATAAATCCATGTTGTCTATTGTTAGTTTTCCCATGTTGTGTTAAAAAGGCTACAAGTCTTGTATTTAAAATTTTTTCCAATAGTTTCCCAGTAATTTCTAATAAAGATATTGGCCTGTAGTTTAATATTTCCTTATTGTCCTTACCCTCCTTAGGAATAAATATCATTTTAGCATATTTTAGTTTGTCTGGAAAGTAACCAGTTATTAAGCATGCGTTATAAATGTTTAATAGTGTATTTAAAATGTTTTCAGGTAGATTCATGATCATATTTCGTGTAATACCTGTGAGCCCAGGGGCTTTTTCCTTAAATTTCCTCAGACAGTGCATCATTTCTCCCATGGTTATTATTTGATTATTAGGTAATAAGTTATAGTCTATATATTGCCTTGGGGTGATTCTATGTATTTGTCTTCCCATTTCTTCTTCTATCCTTTCTTCGTGTTCACTATCAAAATCTTCATTTTCCTCATCTGATATTTTAAAAACTTTTACCCATTCCCTTTTGAATGCGGACTCTTGTTCATTTTCCTCGTGCAATTTTTTTCCATTTTGGTCTTTAATGTATGGTGTTTTTTGCTTGTTGTGCCCCATCATCTTGTTTATGGAAGTCCAAAATGCTTTTGTGTCTTTAGTCATGTCAGCCGCCATTATAATATCATTCCATTTTTTATTGTTTGCTTCCTTACATGCGTCTCTTAATTTTATCTGTAGTGCTATCTGTGTCGTATATAGCCATCTGTTACTGCCGTGTCTTTCCATATACCTGTTTATTTCATTGTAATAGGTCTGGATTAATTTAACTTCTTCTGGTAGTCTGTTGTTGGGTAATGTTCTAAAGTGTGAAGTAGGAGTGTGTTTGGTTATAGATGTTTTATTGCTGAGTGCAGTTCGCTGTCCATTTCTGAGTCTATATCTTCTTGTTTAAGCTCTTTGTAGGTTAATCGAGTGGTGATTACCTAAGTCGTCTTTTGAAGCCGTCCAGTCTGTTTTGCATCTATTTCAGTCTCTTTTTATTGGCGTATCTGTATGGGGCTTGCTGGACAGTGTTAGTATAATTGGCGCAGATGGTCACTGCCTGTAAGAGGTCCTTTGCATTATGTGCAGTAATTGGTGCTATTTCATGTTGGTAAAAAATTTGTCTGGTGTCGATTGTGTATTGTGATTTCTCCAGGTTGGAAAAAGAAATCTAGATGATTACCTTCTTCCCTAGATTGTGGTTTAATTGATTGGCGGCGTTTCTATGTTGTTTATTTGTATTGTAGGAATCCCAGGCTCGTTGTAAAGTCTCCTAAGATGTACATCGGATGACTATTGTTAGCCAATTTTAATAGGTCTTCTATAGGTAAGTAGGGTCGTCTCGGTGGCAGATAAGTAGTAGCAATAATTACGTCTCCTTGAGTTGTATTTATTTTTATTGCTAGAAATTCATCCTGGAAGTCATCGATTAGTTTAAATTTTAAGTTTCTTTTAACCGCTATCGCTACTCCGTCATTTTTCTCGCCCGATTTATTTCTTTGGTTTACATAATAGTTAAAGAGTTTTATGTTGTTGTTTTCTGTCTCACCGTGACTGTTTATTAGTATAATGTCAGGGTCAATTTCTTGATATATATTACTTAGGTTAATTCTCTCGGTCTTCCAGTTTCTTACGTTGTGTTGTATTATTCTTAAAGTTCTTACTGTTTGTCTATTGTCCATTATTTCTTATACTTGGATTGTGACTGTTGGAGTGGAGACCTATCGTCCTGTTTCCCGCTTCTGACTCTTCTAAACTCTGACGGGTCTACTATTTTAAAGTCATTGGTCGTAATCTTTAGTTTGTCCGTAGTGATTAGTGACCAGACGTAATCTTCACTTAGGGATTTTTCTTGATATGTCCACTTGTATATCCCTCCTTCACAGTTTTTTACTATTGTCCCTCCTGTTGGTCTCGATGTTGGGATTCCATGTTTTGTTGTAGTGATAACTTTTAATCCAATATCTTCAGCAGATTCAGGTTGTATATTGTGATCAGTCTCCATCTTATCTTCTCTCCTCCTTATCCTTTGTCTTGTAGTCTGTCCTTTTGTTATTTCTATCTTCTCTTTGTCACTTCTAGTCATTTGTCTGGGATCTCTATCAGTCGCTTGTGTTCCTTGTGTATCAGCTGTTGCTCCTTGCTCAAACCTTTGTTTGTCTAGCTGTAGTCTTTCTCTCAGTTCGCTTGCGTATGTTGCCTGAAATAGTTTTTCGGATTGTGGATTCTCTGGAAATATCATCTCTGGTAGGTTATTCAATTTAAACATTTTCCTTAATTCCTCATTGTATGATCCGGGTGCAATGATATTGTGCAAATGTGCATGGATCATACTAATCATTACCTTGTCATGTATTGGCTCACTTAAGTTTAATATGGTGGATTCTGGTCTGTGAGCCTCTTGGACCGCTCTCTTGGCTATTTCGACGTATGTCGTATCCTTCTTGTCTTGTTCCTTTTTCCTTGTTTCTTGTTCCTTGTACTTTATCATGTGTTTTTTTATTGGGCATGCCATTGCTAACGTCCTGTGTCCTATGTATGCATTCCCGTTTCTCTTACAGTTGAGACAGCCAACATGTGTATTCTTACATTCAGTGTAGGTATGGTCGTCGCCTGCACAATCTGAGCAGTACTTTTTTTCTTTTTCTGGACAGTCTCTCGTTGTGTGTTCTTCATATTTGTAGCAGGAGAAGCAAGTTTGCAGACTGATGAATGTTTCCTTCTTTATTTGATGAGGTGTTACTGACATGTTAAATATTAGAAAGCCCTGTTGTAAAACTTTCTCAGCCATTGAAACTTCTTCAAAGGTAATCTTAAAAACATGAGTGTAGTCTTTTATCTTAATGACTTCTTCGATCTTCATCCACCTGTTTTGGCGTTCCAGTTCATCTTTCAGGTCTTCAGATGTCTTCCTCCCGATCTCTTGGTCGACTTGACGAACGAAAACTGATCTTTTTGCTTTTTGCTCTGGTGGCATGACAACAACAAGGCCTTCATTGTAAAATACATCTCTGGCTTCTTTTGAAAGGATTTTGTCTGAATCAAAGTCATCTTTACAGATTACTTTGAAACCTTCGTTGGTGCTGAATATTCTTGTTAGTGGGACTTGCAATTTGTTGTAAGTGATTTCTGCCACTTTTCCTCTTCCAATAGAGTGTCCCTTATCTCTATGTTTTATTCTAATGCTTGTAGTCATCTTCCTTGATTACATTCTAATCCTACCTATAACACAGGGCTCCTGCCTGGGAGCAGTGACCCCGCCCCCCCCTCTTGGACGGGCGTCGGGCTCGTAGGGTTCTGCACCCAGGTTACCTGTGACTATAGTTATGTCTAAGAAAGTTGCCACCTACCGGTGACCCCCGGACAAGGGGTGCCCTGCACTATCACAGGTTCCCTTGCCGGATCGACCGTATCGCTAAGTCCCGCCTCCCGTTCAAGGAACGGAGTGCATGAGGAGGATGAAAAAAGGAAAGAAGAGAACTTAGAGAGTAGAGACAGTCTACCTACCACGCCACGTTCGGTTAGCCAATCAGAGCACCGCAGTAAACGTGCATGTATCACGCCACCGTGGGGCACCACTGATTGGCCAATCCAGGACGTAGACGCACGAGTAGTAGTCAAAATTTGGGGAGCCCAAATATTTGTTTTCCAGAAATTGGAATTTTCCGTACAATCTGTGATGGTAATTGCACCGTCACTATGTTGAGTAAGTACAATCACTAGGATTGAGTGTCCTATCACAACGAAGTTGCAGACTGCTCAAACATGCAGCAAAAGAGGCAAGTCTTCGCAGCTCCGGGTCACAATGAAATAATTTTGTATTGTCAATAAAATATTTTAATTTCTGATAAAGTAATCCCAAACTTTACTATGTTACCATAGACGTTCAAATTCATCTTTGCCTCGTTGTCAGTCTGTAATTCTTACATTTCTAGTGCAAAAGACTCAGTAAGCCTCTCATTGAAATTTGTTGCCATTTTCTGTGCGCATCCGTTGGAAGTAGAGTGAACTGAGCTGAGAATAGTTAAAAGGTATACAGTATATAGGAGTGTGAACTGCTGTTGTGAAACGTATCACAGGGCAAGGAGAGTAACTGCGTTAATTTCTTGATTATAATTTATGGTCCCAACTTAACGAAACAGCACCTTGTCCTTCACTCCATGACACCTGTATTAAAAAGTGATCCCATCGACCCCATGACCTCTATGCTGCATCTTGTGACACCATTTGGGGTCGCGACCCCGTGTTTCGGATCCGATGTAGAGTCTAGAAGGTAGAATTACTGTTACTAAAACTGTAGCAACAGCTTACTCACTATACTTATTTTTATTTCACAGGTTTTGAAATCGCTGGTCATGTGCAGGAAGAACTTACTCGGAAGGAGCTCCATGACCTGCTTTGCTCTCATGGGTCTGAAGAAGAGGAGGAAGAGGAGAAAGAAATTAGGGCTGACAACAATGAGGAAGATGGTTCTCAGGCTGGAAATATGGAGGAGAGCCTCGCCGGAAATGACAACACAGATAAGGTCAGAGAGTACTGTAGTCACACGATCTGTGTAGACCACCACTGATCATGTAGTTTGTATTATTTGCACTTGCACCACCTCATATTTGAAAAGTGGAAGTGAATCCCATAGGTATGGCGGCCCATTAGGAGAAGTGCAGTGACAGCAAACTGTATACTATGTATTTCTTTTGGTACACACGGAGGTGGTGTAGCCGCCACTACACCTTTACCTCCCCCAGTTGGGTGGATGAGAGAGTCCTGCACGTGAAACGGTGACCCTTAGGAGAGAAAATGAGCATTGAATCCACTATGCCGCGATACCCCTACATCTCACATAAAATAGCAATATCAATGCCGCCATTATCGTCTCAGGAGCTCTACAAAGTAAAATTTCCCATCCACTTTGATTTACTTTCTATTATAGTAAAATCGTGAGAACCTATTATCAAGGACAGTCACAGCGACTGAGTTTTTTTTAATTCGTACTTAAATTCAGTTTCATTAATCCTGAATCCACAAGTAACTCTCAAGTTGTGTAACTCTATATTACGTAAAAATTAAACGATTAATGGATTGATGACAGTACCGTAATAAGAATAAATGTATTATCGTGCACAAAAGACCCTTTCAATAACCAGTTAAGTGTGACTCCGAATCACCTGAGGTTGATCAGTGAAGCAGCTGAAGGAAGTTGCTTGATCTCTCAACAGCTGTCAAACGGTGTACTGTTGGGTGTATGCGGAAGGGGGCATATTGTGGGTGGAGCATGACGTCGCGAAATCCTCATATACCATTAGGAATGTGGTAGCGATGGTTCATATTATTATGGATATTGAGTTATATAACATAAGTGTAAATGCGCAGTTAAGAAAATATATTTGATGACTACAGCAGCATATTTTAGTTAATTGTAAAATAATTATTATTAGTCATTGTAGCAGTATCTCGGGTGTTAGGTGTGACAACAGCGGTATTGGATTACTGTACTGAAAACTGTTTCTGTATGCAATACTATACAAATCATATTCACTGTGCAGACTCCTGGCAACCCTCTCTCTACTCCGACATTTCTCATTCCTTCTCTGTTATTCTATGTCACTCAAACATGTATGCCCTGTGCTTGTGCAGCATAAAAAAGTTTTGTTATCATATCGATTGTTCATATGTTCGGAAATGTCATTCATTTTATTACAAGGCTCGCCCTCCACTCACACCTACCGGGGCCCCAGAAGTGAACCCCAGCAACCAGTTCGTTCATTGGTCGATGGTTGGAAAATCAATTCTGATAATAATGTTTAATTATACTTTATACGTCCAACTGAATTGTCTAAGATAGATCATTAACACGGCATAATTTTATTTCTGATAATGATAATAATGGTAATAGTCGTTATTAAATTTCCTTTATATTTACAACTCTCATGAAGTGGAATATAAGTCACACTAATCCAAAATGACTAGACACGTTTTGCCTTTTGAATTATTATATCATGCATTGTTTTTCAAGAATTAACATAGTATGTCGGAAAAAGTTATTAGTGAAGCAACTGCAACCCAATACAGTACAACTATACGAAGTAAAAAGACGAGGTCTTCTGCAGTTCTAAATATTTCACTGACACACTTTTAGTTTTTTAATATTAAGATACACTTTCAATATAAATATTAATCCAGAGGAGTCTATGTACTAATTCAATGGAATAACCCTAGTAAACGTGAATGACAAAAGTCTACGAGTTTAAGTTGCCTCGTAGCCTCATGCAATTACAGTATATTTAATCCGCGTTACTACTTTTTTTTATCATATCCCAGTTGTTGTTAAATGTAGCCCAAAAATATCTGTTATACCGTAGGATTTTTTTTACACTACCATATGGTATATAGCCACAACACAAACAACACAACCCAACTCGATTGTTCCTGCAGATTGCACCGTAACGATATCTAGTAAGGATTAGATGGCTTAAAATCTACCTATACAATATAGCAAAAGGAAATTTAACATGCTAATGGAGTGCATCATCGATCGCAGGGATGCTGATTATTTCATTACGTCATGACCGAGGTTTTGATTGGAGGTATTCTATCTTCTATAGGTCCCTACACAATTTGAAATAATCCTGGTGTATATAGTGGTTGCCTGAAGTCCATGGACCCTCAAAAGTTCAGAGAGGTAGCCGACACTACCGTCTGGTTGCTTTCATTATGTGTGGGGAATTCAGGGCTTCTATAGGTCAGAAATTTTTACCCTAAAAGAACCACCGGAATTGCCCCTAAATCACCCTAAATTACCCTAAATTATAATATATATATATATATATATATATATATATATATATATATATATATATATATATATATATATATATATATATATATATATATATATATATATATATATATATATATATATATATATAGTTACGAACCCCTTTCACCGCTTCTCAGCTCCTGCCACTGGTTACCAACGCTCCAGGTCGAATATAGAGAAGTAGTAGATATATCACAGGTGTCAGTGAATTACGACTAGTTGTCCCGACAGTCTCCGGTAATTTCTCGACTATAGGTATCAGTGTACAGACAAAACAAAAGGCAGGAAGATTTCCACCGGGTCACAGAAACACACTTGTGAACTGTAGGCCTATTTAATAAACACTAAATCTTCAAAAAAAAACTGTTCACTGGTTATGTCCTCACAACTGGACTTCTCACCCCGAATCTATACAGTCAGCACACTACCAGTGTACAATTCCTTTATAGGGGGTGCTGGTGGTAGAGTGGTACCGCTCTTGCCTTCGCAAGCGAGATGTCACGGGTTCGTTTCCTGGGCCGGTGGAAGTTGTTTGGACATTAGTCCCTGTTCACCTAGTGTAAATCGAAAGTTGCGAATTCGTATTCAGGGACAAGTTGTTGGAGCTTCCAATAACTTGATGACATAAAATCATAGACTCTCCAGGCTTCTATGCCCTTGACTCTTCAGGCTTCTAAGCCCTTAACTCATGAGACATAAAGGCAAGCATGAACTTAGCATGCTTCCCTGTTGGGCACTGTAAACGCTTCTGCGTTTCACCTTGCACAAGGCTGTAGGGGAGTGCCCAATAAAACAAAAAATCCTTTATAGCGCTCGCAACAATTCCACAATACTTGCACAACAATTATCTTAAGTTGTAAGTAGGCTCGTACTTCACACTCTGGGCAGAAACAATCGACTGACTCCCCAGGACTGACTGACTAATGACTAGTGACAGGGCGAAGAAGGTTCAGGGGAAGGATAAAGGGAGGATGGAAGTAAGTTTTAGAAGGAGAGGAAAGGTGCAGTGGCTTAAACACCGCTTGCGTGAGGGGGTAGGCGATGTGCCCGGATGGGTGGGTGGGTGGGTGGAGTCTTTCCAGGTGTACTGCCCTGACCCATGATGCTGCCACAGACGATTAACGTAGATTACCATCGGCTGAGCCTTCCTTCCTCCCCTGACCCGGTAGGTCACATCTGAAAGGCGCTCCACTACAGTGTATGGTCCTTCCCAAGGACTCTAATTGACCCTTCTTCTGCAGAGGGTTATACAGCCAGACCTTATCACCGTCCTTGTAACAAGACTGGCTTGCTTTGACATCATGGTTGCGCTTCATCACTTCACCCGAGAACTCCAGAGCTCCTCGAACTTGACGGTGAACCTTCATCAACCTTTCTTGGAGGCTTTTGACGTCACTGGTGGTTTCTTCAGGAAGTTCTTCATAAGGTGGTTTTCCTGTCAGCAGGTCCACTGGCAGCCGCATTTCATGACCCAGCATCAATTTTGCCGGTGAGTATCCAGTGGACTCGTGGGCAGCAGACCGAGACACCATCAGCAGAGCAGGCAGTTTCTGGTCTGATTCTGACTGCCCCTCAACACAGTACTTGGCCAGTTCTTGTCCCAAGGTCCAATTAAACTTTTCCACCATTCCGTCTGAGTGTGGCCGAAGTGGAGTGGTTCTATTCTTCCTCATGCCCAATAGTTTACAGCACTTGTTGAACACAGCCGACTCAAAGTTTCTGCCCTGGTCTGACTGCAACTCGTGGGGCACACCAAACCAGCAGAAGAACTGGTCTACCAGCACCTTGGCAACAGTCGTGGCTTCCTGATTTGGGATGACATCTGCTTCTAGCCATTTAGTGAAGTAATCCATGGCCACACAAATGTACCTATTCCCATCTGCAGTGAGTAGCAGAGGTCCCGCAATATCCACTGCGACCCTTTCCGTTGGTGCGCCTGCATGATACTACTGCAGTGGGCACGCATGTGTAGCTTTGGTCCCTTCTTGGCGCAGCAGACATCGCATGAACTGTTCCACTGTTCCACATCCTTACACATGAAAACCCAGTAAAACCTTTGCCGCAGGCGACTCAGGGTCTTCTTCACTCCCAGATGTCCACTGGATGGATTGTTGAGCATTTCTCCCAGGATCTCTGACCTCATCTTCCGGGGAAGGACTGTCTGCCAGTACCAGTTAAGGCGCTGCAGCAGACCTTCCTTCAGCCGAAGAGCATCTCAGTGAGCTCAGTAGTTTTTAGTCGTACGACTAGTTCCAGAGATCGTCTCCCATGCTGGCCGTACTGAGCTCTGACTCTTCCACTCGACCACTGGTCGCAGGCCTTGGTCTTCCAGCTGCATCGTCTAAACGCCTTCCCCAGCAACGGCTGGATCCTCCTTTACCTTAGTGCGACTACACTTCTTAAGGGGGTGCCTCTCTCCCTCATCACTGCTGACAATCAGGCTCCACCACTCCCAGACGGGTATGCACGGTACCGTTCACCTTACATGGCAACAAAGCTGGTTGTTCAAATACCTCTTCTGTCAACTCGTCCGTGCTATTATTTACACAAGTATTTAAGCAACTTAATATTTTAGTACTTTAAGTAAAGAACATTTACATGGCAGTCGATCCTCGTTAATTCGGACTAATAGGGGGGAAGGGTGTCCGTTTTAGCCGATTATCCGAATTAACCGATTTAGGGGTTAATATTGCATAATATTGCATTAT